AGAGGTTATTGCTTAAAGAAACGTCTATGAAAAACAATATGTTCCATTTCTAACACCTTCTCAGTTTGCAATATCTCTTAAAGACAAAGTACACCGTTTAAGAAATACATTTCATTCTAAACCGTGTAATATTTGCATTTGCCCATAACAATCTAATCAGGTTCGCTATCTGCTACTTTGTCTAGCTCCTGCTTAATGGTGGTGTAGACTGTTAAGGATGGGAGGCATGATGGAGGTGCAGTGTGATATACGTCCTCAGTAATCTAATTAGCTGTATACTTGCTTGTAAGAACGTGGCTAATAAGCCTGCGTAGTTGAAGGTAGGCATGTATCTGGAAGTGGGATAGACAGTTGAGAAGGGGGAGCAGACAGGAGATTGATGGGTGGGGGAGGGGAGAGAGAGGAAAAAAAAAGGTGGGTGGGGGAAGATATTGGTTCCCTGTAGGTGGGTACCTGCGTAGGAGCCTGAGTCATGAGTACTGGTAGGAGTCGTCAAGATGTCACATCCTGTTTCGACAGAAATTCGTATCACGGGGCCCACACCAAGGCACATTTATCCGCGGTGCCTCTCAGGGCTGAGGTCAATGTCTCCATAGCATTTATACCCACTACGTGGAAAGCAATGGGTGGCTAAGGTGGAGGGTATCAAAGACTTAGCGGCATTCAACAAATGTACAGTCAGTGATTTTTTTTTTTATATGTTTTGATTATTTGTCTCATGTGGTATAAGAGCATGGGCATCAGCTGAAACCGGAGGTCTGAGTCTGTGATGCGAATGATTTGTGAATGTACCTTTTTCCAGAATTGGGCGAGAGGTTGGCAGGTCCACCAGATGTGTAGCCCTGTCTATGTGTTTGCCCACACCTCCAGCATTCCTCAGATATCCTGCTATCAATGCAAAGGAGAAAGTCTGGGGTTCTGTACCATGTGTGTCAATATTTTATAGCATGTTTCCTGAATTTAGAGCTTATGAAACCCTTATAAGTCGGTGCAAAAATCTTGTCCCATGCCTGTTCAGTCAGTGTCTCCCCTGTGTCCCTCTCCCATCTGGCAATGAGTTTTAAAGACATCGTGTTATCTCCCAGAAGCAGCATTGAGTATATGATGGACACCCCTCTATGTACAAACGTCCTAGTTAAGCAGAGTGTATCAAATTGTGTGAGTCCTCTGTGTATGAGTGATTTGGTCTTAATGGAGGAATAGTAGGTCTGTATTTGGAAGTATCGAAATCGGTCGAGACCGGATGGTACTCTCTCAGAGTAGATATTAGTCAGGGGCTTCAGATTCTGGCTTGTGGACCACTCGCGCACAAGGGGCCAGTCGTTGGTCTGAATGTTTTTTTAGGTCTTGTGGCTGTAGGCCGCCAGCCAGGTCTGGGATGTGCAATATGGGGGTCAGTGGGTTCAGGTTCTTTGGGAGGAGTGTACACCATACTGCCAGGGTGGAATTTGTCAGTGGTTTGTCCGTTTTCAGTTGCGGGAGTGTCAAGCCTGTAGTCTGTTCTGGCATTGCATCAATTCCAGCCCCACCCATAGTTTGTTACGGGCGTGCCAGTCAATGAGTCTATTTAAGTGCGCTGCTTGGTAGTATGTGCGAAACGCTGGTAGGCCCATTCCACCCGATGTTTTGGGAAAGACCAGTTGGGTCCGTCCTATCAGATATCTTTTCGTTCCAAATAAATCATCGAATTGTAGTCGACAGTGACTGGAAAAAAGCTTGGGGGAGAACCACTGGGGTGGTATTGAACAGGTATAAAAGGCGCGGCAAGATAGTTATCTTGATCGCACTGATACAGTCGAACCACAAGCTGTAAAGTGCTGTCCATCAGCAAAGGTCAGCTTGGATCGTAGCTAGAAGAGGCAAGAAGTTGTCTTTGTATAGCTGGGTCAGGTCCATGGATAGCCATATTCCCAGGTATCAGTGTGTAGTCGCGCGCCAAGCAAAAGGGAACTGTGCCTGCAGCCGTGTGAGCGTTCGCAGTGTGAAAGTGATATTGAGGGCTTCCGATTTGTCCATGTTTAATTTGAGGTTGACCACCTGTCCAAAGATGCAAAAGAGGGCGATGAGGTTGGGCAATGAGACCAACGCCTGTTCTAAGAAGAATAGCATGTCGTCTGCGTAGGTTGCGACACGGTGCTCGTGGACAGCCTGATTGAACCCCGTTTGTGGCGAAAGCCAGTTCGTCACTGGGGTTTGGAGGGGACTACTTGCCAGCCTTTTACCCTGGGACTATGGCCCCTTTAATTTATTATGGTTAAAATAAAAATTTGTACTTATGACTTTGGACAATAATTATTTGAACTTTTGAAGCGGCACTTCGAACTCCCAAAGCCATTTGAAGTGCCATTCGACCACGTGGTGGTGGCCATCTTGTTCGCATGGACCAAAACCGCGAATAGACTTCAGGGGGACTTAGCCGCGAATGCCCAGAACTATTTTCGGCATGAAAACCTCATGGTTCCCGGTCGGTTCTCCAGCGGCACCTAGCTGCGATTCTATGGAACTGTTTTGGGCATGGGACCATACCTGCAGCTGGGCAAAACTATGACTTCCATAAAATTGATCTGATCTGGGTGATTTTTGGATATGTTGTTCACCCAGATCAGGGCTATCAGGGATGTTACATTTATAGGGATATGTTGTGTTTTGGTGACTTTATAAAAAATGTGTATTTTTCTGCCTGGAGATAATTGAGTTACATACAGTAATTAATTCAATTATCTCACAGGCAGAGGGGAGGGATTATATGTGTGTTATGGGAGTGTCGTACAGTTAATTACTGTTCTTATTGGTTTATTCCCTTTGTGTCCCTGTGCCCAACAAGGTCCACCTGGGTGTCACCCTTGTTGGGAAACTTGCATAAAAGGCCAGTGTGCCTCCATTAAAATTGAGTTCCTGCTTAACCCTCAACATGTAGCTTGGTCTCGTGACTGGAGGGGAACTGCTATATTCACACTGGGGATTGCTATACTCATACTCCCCTGGGTTCTAATCACTAGCTCTTGTAAGAGCTGTTACTGCTACGCTCTCTGAAGTAGGAGAGGTCTTTCCCACACGGCCCTGGATATCCAAGGTTGTTCCAGGGTAGGAGGAAGATGGCGAGATCCCAGCTAAGCTACAGAGGTTGTGGAGTCTGCAGTGCTTGTGGTGTCGGGCGCGGTGCTTACAGTCCTCAGCTTCAGCTAGGAAGCATCTGTTGGCGGAGGTACCCAGTCGGGGTGCCAGGTGATCCGTCACACCGTTATACCCCCGTCCTGTCTGACTGGCTCCAGGAATGGCAGATGGAAAACAGGAGGGGGGGACAGGGGACAACCTTGTTGGGTGCCATTACGTATGGGGAATGTAGGGGCAAGTGCTCCGTTGACTCTTGTGGGCGTGGTGTACAGGGCTGCAATCTAGGATTTAATGTGCGGGCCAAAGCCCACATGACTCAGCGTAGAAGACAGGTAGTGCCAGTCCACCTGGTCAAACGCCTTCTCAGCATCAGTGGAAACGAGCAGGAGCTCCGTGCCGGATGACCGGGCGGCATGGATCACATTCAGGGCTCTAATAGTATTGTTCCTCGCTTCTCTGCCAGGGATAAATCCAACCTGGTCAGGATTGACCAAGTCCGACATCACTCTATTAAGGCGCATTGCTATGGTCTTTGCAAAGAGCTTAAGGTCTGCGTTAAGTAGCGATATTGGGAGATAGCTCACGCAGCACGCTGGGTCCTTTCCCTCTTTTGGTATGAGGGCCACCATTGCCGTGAGGGAGTTGCTGGGGAACCTATCTCCATCCAGAATAGAATTGAACCCATTCTGTAGTTTAGGGAGGAGCAAGTCTTTGAAGGAGCGTAAATAGGTTAGTGGGAGCCATCCGGTTCCGGGACCCGATGTGACTTCGACATTTTGAGTGCTTCCCCTACTTCATCTAGTGTCAAGGGGGATTCTAGTTCTTTCACTATCAGGCGTCTGGTGACATGTGCTGACAGAAATTCTGTTACACGGTGGCGATGAAGTTGAGTCTGTGTCAGTGCGTGAGAGAGTGATGTTATATAAGTCAGTATAGTACTTATGGAAGGCTTGTATTATATCGGCTGGGTACCTGGTTTCCCTCATGTGGATATGGTGCAATCTGCGCTTCTTTTGTAGCATCTGTACCAACAGCCTGCCACATTTATTGGAATATTCGTAGAAAGACCTATTGGATTTCCTCAACGTATGTAGCAGATTCTGAGCAAGGAGGTCTCGGAGTTGTCTGCGCTTGTCAGTTAGTTTCAAGTGGATATCGTCAGTCGAAGTCTGTGTCGTTGTTCCAGGTCCGCTACCTGTGTAACTAAATCTATCGTGAGCTGTGTATGATCTTTCCTACACTGTGTGCAGATGGTAATGTAGTGGCCGCTTATGACACACTTATGAGCCTCCCATACTGTTGGTGCTGGAGTGTCTGGGGATTTGTTTGTTTTGAGTGAGCACCTGTCTAGTCTGTGACAAATCCTCCATATCAAAAAGCATGTTTTCGTTCAGTTTCCATTGGCTTATGTACTGGGGATTTTATGTCTATTGACATCGGAGCGTGGTCATAACAGCAGAAAATGCCAATAGCTAGGAATAAGCGATATTCCTGTGCTACAAAGATGTACTGTTGTGCACGCCCGAGTAGAACGTGTAGTCCCTGTCATCGGGGTGAGCCACCCTTCAGCAGTCTACTAGCCCTCAGCGCCACAGTGCTCCAGCTACCGCATGAATGCAATGGAAGGGGACCATGCAGGAGCTTGGGTTAAGGGGGATATTTAGGTTGCCCATAACGACAAGTAGGCCTTCCCTGTATTTGGCCAGTAATGCGAGTGTCTTAGCTAGGATGACATGTTGTCCCCTGTTCCGAATATAGATGCATGCAAAGGTATAGAGTCAGTCAGCGATTTTCCCTTTAATGAAGAGGTACCTGCCATTGAGATCAGATTGGACCTCTTTGCATTGGAAGGGTATATTGTGGGCAAACAGAAATGCCACGCCTGCTCATTTTGCATCACAGTGGTTTGCGAAATAGCCAGCGGTTGTTGCAGAGCACTCGGGCCTGTCCATCTCGGAAGTGTTTTTCCTGTAGGAATGCCACAGAGACTCTGCTGGACCATAGGTTCTGGAGGAGTTGGGAACGTCGTTCTGGGATGTTAAGTCCCCGAATATTGTTTTGTCCCGAGCCTTCAGGGAGTAGCTGGGTAGGTAGGAGAAGAAGAAAAAAAAGGGGGGGGAGCTTGAAGTAAGGAGTGGGGAAGTACTGGGGGGATAAGGTGGGAGGGGAGAAAGAAAACAAGAGGAACCTTGTCTGAGTTATGTAAAACAGGCAACTAAGACTCTAGGTCGAGTTTGTAGGTCGGTGAGGTGGGGACCCTAGTAATTGGATCCACCGCACCGATTCTCAATCTTATATACAAGGAGGTGTCTGTCGCGTGGGGAGTCACGGAAAACCGTGTGATACAGAGAGTCCGAGCAGGGAACCATAAGCTCCAGCGAGAGCGGCGCCATTTTTTCCAGCTCTCCCTAGTACCACGTAGGCCATGTGGTGTGCCGAGGTAAGCGTCTATTGGCCCCGCAGCATGTCTCTGAGAGGCTGCATGGGATGGTACCGGAGTCTGTATCAGACAGGTTTTACCCATTTTTGCGGTAATAGTTGGTGTTACACAAGGGACTTTTGTGGGTCGATACCGTGGAGCTACAGCAATGTGCGACCTACTCCTTATCCAGGCAAGCCATGCCCCCCGTGAGGTTTCATATTGACTTGATCTAAAGATATGCTTTTTGCCTGTATGGGTTTTGTGTTTGAGTTCTATATCTCTAGACAAGGACTAAAAGCAAACTTTCAAAAATGATCAGTGTCGGTAGATAAATTTAAAATGGATGTGTCATCTGAAAAATATATTCTTTTAGAAAAATATAGAGGCTTGACTGCATAATGTGTATAATTGTTATACTTTTTAAATTTTCAAATGGCTTTGCTAGAAACATTCAGTGGAGCCTACGTTTTGTTTGCAATGTCCTATTCGTATTTTTTGGATAATGAGATTTCAACTATATGCCAGGGTTCCGCATGAATGGGCAATCGACACACGGTCAAAGATGATGAAATTGGATAGGAAGTCGGTTTTGCAACTTGTACAAAGTCTACATAAAGTGTCCAGCTGTAGGGATCCCAGCTAATTCTTACACATCATGTGTATTTCAAACTATAGACATAGATAATACAATGTGCAAACAGCGAGGCATACAAAAGCCAAAAAAATCAGCTGCAGACAATTTAGTTGCATATAGTAATCATCTCTTTCAAACTTTTAATTGTTATTGGTACAGCTGCTTTGAGGCAATTGCAGAGCAGGAAGCAACAGTAACTCCGATTCTGTATTTATTAGTATGCAGTGATGAATTCTGTATGGATAAAGAAGAAAACAGTACAGGTTTTGTTACATTGTGGTGAGTCCGTGATACACAGAATATGACTGATCCACAAGTGACCTCCCAACTGCACATGGCTTGCAAATACCTTAATATTTCTCAAGCAAGCTATTAAATGTTGGCCCAGTATTGCACTGCCTTGATGTCACATTTGTCCTACAACAAAGTCACTTTCTCATTAAGACCTGAACAGGTTAATGCAAATCTTCTTTATAGGCTGCATCTGATCGGACCATAGATTAGGATTGATGATCTGATAGGTAGACTGAATTGATGTGAGGAAACTCTCTCTCCCAGAGTAGAATTGTAGCTTATGCTACCGTAGTGTACCTGTAATCTTAATTTTAGTTATGACAGGAGGCAAATATTTTGCATATCTCTCTTTTCTGAAAACTCTAGCAGCACAGATCATAAAAATACAGCATAACCAATCAGAAAAAAAGATAGTTGCTACATAAAAGGCCCGGTCAGCCTACGCTCCTCCTCTTACTTTGTAGAGAACATAAAACAGGTAACAAAATTTGTAAACATAAGTTATCATATATCAAAAAAATAGTCAATGAAGAACTCCAGCAAGGAAAACGATCCAAGAGAACCACAGGTGTGGAATTGTCCACTGAAGAGAACCAATCACAAATGAAGAAGAACGTGGCAACCCATTAACCAAATCAGTTGTCTGGAGAAACTGTAGAAGCGGGTCTTGCCCTAGAACTAACCAATCACATTGAAAGGGAATAAAAAGAAGTGAAAGGCATCTGAAATGGTATATTTTCCATCTTACAATAACCATGTAATAAACTAAAATTAAATTAAATCAGGCTGAAAAATTCTAACACATGAACGTGATAAAATCAATGGAAATAATAACAGTAGATGGGCTATGAAATATTGCAAACCTAAATCCCAACAGTGGAAATTACAAACCAAGGAACAGAAAGCCAAGGGTGGGCAGAAAAGAAGGCTGGGAAAATAATTACCTCCTGTCATTACTAAAATTAAGATTTTAAACACTATGTTAGCATAATCTACAATTTTACCACATGACAGGAGGCTTCATGTTTTGCATTTTTTACGCTGAGGACTTGGTTTAGTGAAAGTGAGAAGATTGTCTAACGTAAAACACAAAAATAATTCTCCCGCGTCCAAACCGCACATTACCCAATGTTGGAAAACAACGTGTCGCTGTAAAAATACCCACAATGCTGCCCCTTCACGGACCTAATGGGCCCCAGATCAGGAATCGATCCTTGCCAGGACACAAGTCAATGAATCCATCTAGCCAAAGTCATAGTCGAGACCAGATTGTAGGGTACAACGTAAAAAAAAAGAAGAAGCTGGCTTTAAGGCGAAGTCTGTAAAGGTGCGGTAACCTTGACGTATCGTGTATGAGGACATAGAAACAGAGAATGTGACGGCAGATTAGAACTATTCGACCCATCTAGTCTGCCCAATTTTCTAAATACTTACATTAGTCCCTGGCCTTATCCTATAGTTAGGATAGCCTTATGCCTATCCCACGCATGCTTAAACTCCTTTAGTGTGTTAACCTCTACCACTTCTGACAAGGCGGTGGAACTGTCCATGTGGAGTAGAATGCAGCAGTTGAATAAGTCTGTCCGCTAGACTGTGGATGGCAGAGGATCCACCGATCATTTTCAGAATATATACGTACAAATAGGTCAGTGGACGTCCATGGAAGAATCCTTGTAATAAGTTCCTAGCCCCAGAGGCTGGCGTCCAATTCCACAATGAATTATGGTGAATGGCCGAATATCCCCATGTCGTGCTAGGCTTATATGTGAAGTTGCCACCAGCGGAGTTCCGCCCATACCTCTGCTGAGAGAGCCCCTGTGGTCGAGTGTTGATTTCCGTCTGTTCACCATAAAGCCCACAGAACAACAAATCCTATCTGGGAGCGTAGTTGACACACTGACACATTGACAGTCGTACAAACATTCAATGACAAACACACACGTCACTGACAGAGACAGATACACTCACTAACAAACACACACATTCACTGACAAGCACACAAATACTCAATGACAAACATAGACTCTCACTGATGTGACAGACACTCACAGACAGACACATACAAATTCACTGACAAACACACACACTCACTGGCAGACATACACACACTCACTGGCAGACACACACACACACACATTCTCACACTCATAAATTACTAATATTATTATTTTAACTTGTCCACTCAGCCTCCCTACCTTAAGGAGAAAAGGAGTGGAGCAGTACCTGTAAGGCCCCTCTTGAAGTCTATACGGGATCAAGGCCTAATCTGGACATAAAGACCACTTCTGAGGTGTCAAATTCAGGGCATTGGCAATTTTGTCAGGCAGGAGAGGTCTAGTGCATTTGGCCCTAAGCCTCTTTTACCAAAGGCACGCAGAGCTAATAGTGGACAAACTGAGGCAGGTAGTAGGTAGGTTCCACCCCGACTATCATGAGTGTCAGATAGTCCAGTTTTCAAAAAACCCTTGAGCTTCCGAAAAGACCTCGTCCTCAGTCACCAAGGTCAGTGGGGTATTGGCATATTTCCAGTGGTAGCCATTCCCCAACACAGGTATCTTGACATACTGTGTGGTCGATTGGGGTAAGACTTGTCAATCATTCTCCCTGGAGGTAGAGCCCACTGTCTGCCACTCATCGACAACAGTTAAAGAAGGGGAGAGTCATTTGAGGAAAAAGGCGCTTGCATTAGTTTGGATTTTGCCACAGAGCTCTGTAGCAGATGGGTTGGTCCAGTGCCGTTGTGGTACAGCTTATACCTTAGAAACCACTAAGCCTGAGGTTTCATCCAAACCTAGTGTCCCTGTTTCCACCTAGGGTAGAGGTAGCACGCATAATAGAGCTTACACACCAAGGCTGCGATGGCGGCATTAATCATCACTCAGAAATCCTGAGTAGATGGGGGAGGTGTGGAGTCATCCATGATAAGTCTTGTCCTGCAGAAGACTGTCAGTGGAAGTAGGGCAGTTGGCAAAGCACACACAATGCCAGAATCCTGGTACAACAGAATAAACTGGTTCTAAGGCGAAATCCGTAAAAAACGGCAATATCATTACGTGCCTCTTGTTTAGTGTAATAAGTGCCAATGTGAGAGGGGGCTAACCCTCTAAAGTACAAAAAGGGGGGTTTCCCTTGAGTGATGGGAGTCATAGTTCGATTAGAGATTTACGAACCAGAGGCCACAGCCATGTCAAGAGACCCCGCTTCCCCTTGGGTTGGTGTAGTGCTCATTGTCCCATGAGTGAATTAAATGTCATTAAGAGAGTGCTCACCCTCTAGTGGTACAAAAGGGGGTTTCCCTTCAGCGACAGGTGAAATGTAACAGTCCCGTAATCATGGGATTTTCAACCCAATAACTATCCTTCGTAGGGTATGGTACCTGAGAGGGGCTCACCCTCTGAATAGATGCTGGTGGCGTATAAGGATAGTGTGGCTGCACCACAGATGTACTCCAGAGCCAAGGATGTCAGGGACAAGATTGTAAACCTACACAAGGCTGGAATGGGCTACAAGTCCACCACCAAGCGTGAGAAGGTTTCAACAGTTGGTGTGATTATTCGCAAATGGAAAAAACACAAAATAACTGTAAGTCTCCCTCAGTCTGGAGCTCCATGCGAGATCTCATCTTGTGGAGTTTCAATGATCATGAGAATGGTGAGGAATCAGCCCAGAACTACATGGGAGGATCTTGTTAATGATCTCAAGGCAGCTGGGACCATAGTCACCAAGAAAACAATTGGTAACACACTATGCTGTGAAGGAATGAAATCCTGTATTGCCCGTAAGGTCCCCCTGCTCAAGAAAGCATATGTACAGGCCCTTCTGAAGTTTGGAAATGAACATCTAAATGATTCAGAGGAGAACAGGGTGAAAGTGTTGTGGTTAAATGAGACCAAAATCGAGCTCTTTGGCAACAACTCAACTCGTCGTGTTTGGAGGAGGAGGAATGCTGCCTATGACCCCAAGAACACCATCCCCACCATCAAACATGGAGGTGGAAATATTATGCTTTGGGGATGTTTTTCTGCTAAGTTGACTGGACAACT